ATACAGCGTGGGCGGAGGGAGTTGTTTAGGGAGAGGATCACCAGAGCAAAACTATACGTGTCAATCGTCCAGTAATATCCTCTTGCACCGTGTACTCACCGGATGCCATTACGAACGTGTCACTGCGTTGTTGTGTCAATGTACAATACTGTCAAATGGTCGCCATCGCTACACATTTGTTTTGCCGATGCGTCTTCGGTTCTGAATGACAAGTTACCCAAGGATGTAATTCGTTAACACTACAGATAAATAGTCCGAGTTTAGAGGGTCAACATTAGCAGAGTTCAGTCTCCGTGGGTCACTAACTGTTAGAGAGAGGCCGCCGTCAAGTCCTCTCACTCTCACGTCCCAGCAACAACTGGCCGCCACATGCCCCACCACCGTCGTCGCCAGTTCGCCACAACTCCACGTTGAACGCGTGGTGACGGTAATGATGTGCCGGGCGTTGCCAGCGAGGGATTACAGCACCTTACCATCATTTTTCTGGATTTACAGCCAAACTATGCGCTTAATTTTGCCAACTAACTACTGATAAATGAATGTATCCAGTTAAGATAGTCTCAGCGTACTTGTGTCCCCTGACTGGTGCTAGTTAGATATTTGTTCAGTATATTCGTTATACACGTTCACATTGATTCACCATGTTCTGTACACAGGTACACTACATATACAGACAGTTCAGGTGTACAAACAATGCAAATAGATAATCCAGCTGTTTCCATTAGGTTGACAAACCAGCCAGTAACAACACCTCTACAAAATTAGTCAAACAGTTGTGAAGAGTTAGTGTGACGCTGATTTTAGGTCCACAGATACACTATAATTGTTGCATTCACGCACACACACACACACACAAAATCGTATCAAATTTGAACAGAGGATAAATATAGGTTCAGAGACGCATTTCAGTAAGTTCCAATGCTTCACTAAAAAAAACGTATGACCCCGACTCTACTGTACACGATACAAGTGAACGTGCTTATAGCTAATAAATACATCTGAATTTTGTATCTAAATTTAAGACACCCGCAGGTTTTATTGGTTTTAAAAATAAACTTGTGTAAAAACATATATGACGTTCTGTACCTCGTAGTGAGACTGTACTAAATAAAGACTTGAATCTGGATGTAGAAGGTTAGGTTAGGTTAGGTTTGTAGGTGAGCTACATAAAACACGATTTCAAGTGCAAGGGAAGCCATCGTCCACCCAGAGGTTGAATAACTCACATAGTTCACAAGTTTATGGCATGTAAATATACCAACTGTACATGGTAGTGAGGTAGGCGAGTAAACAGGAATCCACAACACTGACAAACACACTGGCAGATGTCCAAACAAAACACGACCTGGCCAGTAGACACGCTAATACATGCCCCCCCCCACAAACACCTTACGTCTGGGGGCGCTCCAGGGTCACAGATGGCCTCGTGTTGTTTGTTTATGGAACCTCTCAAGTCAGGTGTGTAAAGGAGATATTTACAGTGTGTCTATGGGGCCACAAAAATCATACTACTGCTAACTGGGAACATGAAACGTGACTTCTCCAGTCTTGTATGATTAATTGACAGTGATTCTGGGTCCACACACACACACACACACACACACACACACACACACACACACACACACACACACCTTAACTAGATATAAATACGCTCCAATAATTTATTTCTTCCTGATAATAAGTAAATGTTTATAGTTGAGGCTGTGACTTGGTGTAACTCTCTGATGGAGGAAGTGAGGGAGACAGTGGTGGAGGGAGGGAGATGAGAGACTGTGGTGGAGGTGAGGTGAGGAGACTGATGGTGGGGGAGAGTGAGGGAGACAGTGGTGGAGGGAGGAGGTGAGGAGACAGTGGTGGAGGAGGGAGGTGAGGGAGACTGATGGTGGGGGAGGGAGGGTGAGGGAGACAGTGGTGGAGGGAGGGAGGTGGTGGAGGGAGGTGAGGAGACAGTGGTGGAGGGAGGGAGGTGAGGGAGTGGTGGAGAGGGAGGTGAGGACTGGGGTGGAGGAGGGGAGGTGGGGGAGACAGTGGTGGAGGGGGAGGGAGGTGAGACTGATGGTGGGGGGAGGGAGTGAGAGACAGTGGTGGAGGGAGGGAGATGAGGGAGACTGTGGTGGAGGTGAGGGAGACTGGGGTGGAGGGAGGGAGGTGGGGGAGACAGTGGTGGAGGGAGGGAGGTGAGGGAGACTGATGGTGGGGGGGGAGGAGTGAGGGAGACAGTGGTGGAGGGGAGGAGGTGGGGAGACAGTGGTGGAGGGAGGAGGGAGATGAGGGAGACAGGTGGGAAAGGCAAAATAATAATAAAAGAGGAGAGGAAAGGGAAGGAAATGGTGAGAACAGATGATAAAGGAAGAGAATAAAGAAGGAAAGAAGTAGAGATAAGAGAGGAAGAAGGAAGAGGAGGATATGGAAGACAGGATACTCCAAAGTGGCTGGAGTGAGGGGTGGGTGAGGAGAGAGAGAGAGAGGAGAGGAGAGAGTGAGGAGAGAGGGTGGGAGGAGAGGTGGAGGAGGAGAGGAGAGAGGAGAGAGAGGTGGGGAGGAGGGGGAGAGAGGGAGAGTGAGAGGAGAGAGGTAGGAGAGGTGGAGAGGAGAGAGGAGAGAGAGGGTGGGTGAGGAGAGAGAGGAGAGGAGGGAGAGAGGAGAGGAGGGGGAGGAGAGAGGTGGGTGGAGGAGTGGAGTGAGGGAGGAGAGAGAGAGAGAGAGAGGGTGGAGAGAGAGGAGAGAGGTGGGGGAGGAGAGGAGAGAGAGAGAGAGAGGGAGAGAGGTGGAGAGGGGAGGAGAGGAGGAGAGAGAGAGAGAGGAGAGTGGAGTGAGAGGAGAGAGGAGAGAGGAGAGAGAGGAGAGTGGAGAGGAGAGATAGTGGTAAAGTCCACCCTCTCACCTTATCCCCTCATCCCATCACACAACATCCCAACATCCCAGGGCCCCAACATCCCAGGCAACATCCCAGGGCCCCAAACATCCCAGGGCCCCAACATCCCAGGGGCCTCAACATCCCAGGGCCCCAACATCCCAGGGCCCCAACATCCCAGGGCCCCAACATCCCAGGGCCCCAACATCCCAGGGCCCCAACATCCCAGGGCCCCAACATCCCAGGGCCCCAACATCCCAGGGCCCCAACATCCCAGGGCCCCAACATCCCACACTCCCTTGCCTAAGAAATATCGAGAGTTGTTTACATGAGTGATGCAACATATTTGTCTAACACCAAGATATTTATAGTAGTTACAGCTATGGTAATTCAGGTGGTGTATTGAAGATATGTTTCTCTCTCTCTAGCCAACCTGAATCTTTTAGGGCTGATAATAATAGTTCGAATTAACCTAAATACCACAAAGAATAAAAAATAAAACAGGTTATATTATTCTATAAGTTTTTTGCACCGACTTAAGGCGTTCGAAGGATTCAATGTGTGGGTAGCTTTAAAAACCAAGTGACCACAGACAACCACCACAATTAATACGTTATAATACTAATGCTCTTTATTAGAGTTTCTGTGGTCAGTTTTCCACAAGGTTCCAAGCTTATACGCGCATCAAGTGTCCTCGTTAACAGCAACACGCTCATAGTCCTGTAATTACTGTACTCCAATAACCTGAGGAGGAACACCAACGTAAATAATAACAAAAGTATAGTTACAGGAATAAATGTATAGGAGGGAATGGGAGGAGAGAAGAGGAGAAAAAAGAGAGAGAAGGAAAGATGAGGGATAGAGGGACAATATAAGACAGATGGGAAAATGTTTTGGGGAGAAGTGATGAGACGGAAGGATGAGGAAAGGAAAATAAGAGAAAATACGAGAAGAAGAGAAGAGAGATTGGATGGAAGAAAGAGGATGGAGAGACGAGGAGAGGAGGCGATAGTGACAGAGCAGAGTATAAAGCCTGAATATGACTAAATCATCTCCAATTGTTAACCACTTTACACAACGTGAAAATATTGTCAGTGTACTCCAGCAGTTAGTCGTCGCACCTACACTGCCTTAAGCCTTGTGTATACATGTGTATCTTTTCCGTGTAGACTGCCCAGCTGGTGATTGATGTGTTGATACTCTTGACGTACAAATAAACTTATTGTAAACACTATCACCAACAGGTATGATCACTGTACACAATAAAAAAAACGTACCGCACGGATTATATGCGAAACAGTAGGACACCATGAACGAGCGGAAAGTGGGATATGCGTGTGAGATAATTAATGTAATGATGTTGCTCATATTATGCCGGTCCTGTGGGACGTATAGCCCTACCATAGGTAGGTGGAAACCTTTGCCATACAGGCACGCATACCAACCCTCCTGGCACATCAGGTAATGTATGGATCATTACGGAAGTCAGCAGACCCCCTCACCCTGCGCGATACCCTTTTTTACTGTGTCTATAGTCAGCAAAAAAATATTCTACACCCCTTGGTCTGATGGCCTCTGCAACGATCACTAACTGAGGCCATGTTAAATTGGTAAGGTTGGAGTCTCCGGTGTGATGCATTGTACAACCAGCATGATGAATTTTTTATATCACATATAGTTAATACAGAGAAATTAACAGGAATCACCCGCGTAAATGAGTGTTGTTCAGAATTATTGATCCGGTGAGTCATATTGTATAATACCATAAAGGTGCAGAATTTATTTTTGTTCACTGTACATCAACATTATATACTACCAGGTGAAGATCTGCACACACACACACACACACACACACACACACACACACACACACACACACACACACACACACACACACACACACACACACACACACACACACACACACACACACACACACACACACACACACACACACACACACACACACACACACACACACACACACACACACACACACACACACACACACACACACACACACACACACACACACACACACACACACACACACACACACACACACACACACACACACACACACACACACACACACACACACACACACACACACAAGTAACATCAGTAAGAAATTGAGACTAACCTTTATAGATCTGTTGGTACTCCAGACGCCCTTATTCTCGTGGGCGACGGTGTAGGTGTAGGGGAGGGAGAACCAGAGAAGCACCCAGAGGAGCTGCCTGATGAACCAAACGAGCAGCTCGATGAAGCACAGGACGGTGTCGGTGACGGCGAACATCTTGCCGGAGCCGAAACTGGGACGATGATCTTCCTGACTGTGACTGTGGGCATTCCTGATGTTATGTGACTGCTTAATATGATGTTATGTTTGGAGTAGCTTTCTCCCTTTGTCATCATGATGTTAACAGAGTTCCTCTTCTCGTTATGATCCGTTTTCATCCATCTCATTTTCACTTGCTCGTTTTCTTTGTTGAATTTTATAGGGTGACTATCAGATCTTTTTGAAGCGTCTGAAATTCTGTGTTGGCGTGGATCACCGAAAGTTTTGGGGTTATGTAAATTGTAATTTGTAGAACTCTGAGTGTGAGGTGGATATTTTGAGGTGGTGTGGGCAGTTTTGTGGGAAATAGGGTGGGTGAAGGGACTTGAAGAATAGTGAGATATGTGATGGGTTGGGGTTTGTCTGGGGTGGCAAGAAAAACGTGAATCTGGTTGTGTGTGTGGTTGTGACGTATGGTGGGCACGAGGTTGTGAAGTGGGTGGGGTTGAGGGCTGTGATTTAGGGTGGGTGGAAAACGGTGAGGCGGGGCGGGGCTGTGAGGGCTGGCGGATAGAGAGCTGTGAGGTCGGATTGATGAGGGCTTCAGCAGTGAGACGAGAAGTGGACTCTGAAGCGAGCTGAGTAGAGGGCTGTGAGGTGGGGTGGTAAGAACGAGGATAAGACTGTGAGAGGTTTTGGTTAGTGATTTGTGAAGTGGGACTCGTGGGAGGCTGTGAGGAGGATTTCGAAGTTTGCTGTGGAACTGATGAGCGCTTACGAGGTGTGGGAACTGGTGCCCTGGAGAAAGGTGTCTGTGTGGGTGAGTGTGAGGGTGAGTGTGTGGGTGTCTGTGAGGGTGAGTGTGTTGGTGTCTGTGAGGGTGAGTGTGTGGGTGTCTGTGAGGGTGTGTGTGAGGGTGTGTGTGTGGGTGAGTGTGAGTGTGTGGGTGTCTGTGAGGGTGAGTGTGTGGGTGTCTGTGAGGGTGAGTGTGTGGGTGAGGGGGTCTGTGTGGGTGGGTGTATGAGTGAGGATAGGTGTGTGGGTGGTGTTGGTTGTGTAAATGAGGGTGTGTTTAAGGGGTAGTATGTGGGTGAGGGTGAAGGTGTTTGTGGGGTTGTGGGCAGGTGGCATAGTGTGGGTGTTTGTGGGGATATGACTGAGTACGAGATGGTGGGTGTTTTTGAGGAAATGGGTCTTTGCAAGGGTGAAGGTGTCTGTGTAGATGAGGGAGAGTCTGTGGAGGAAGATGAGTCTGTGAACGATGGTGTTTGTGTCGGTGTGATTGTCAGCTTCAAGAAATCTGGGCGAAGTTTAGCAAGCGGTGCTGAGGACGAGGGCTGGGATACTGGAGATGTAGTCTTGTGATAACCTTGAAGTGACTGACATCTTGAGAGTTGAGGGTGGGACGTGCGCGGGGCGGGGACAGGACCTGGCTGTACAGTGGCAGGTAATTGGTCGTTCTTGAGAGAGTTAGTCTTTGGTATTTGCTGGGGTGACGAAGGCGGAACAGTTGCTGTGTTGGCGGTGCGCGCGCTGGCGACAGAAGATAAGCGAGGGCGGACTGATGGCTGAGGGGGCAAGGTTGGAGGGCTGTGGCCGTGTGCAGGAACACGAGTTGAGGATTTTGTGTAGTTCGTCTTAAAGTTATCATTCTCATCAACCACCAAGATCCTTGACGTCACCGCGCTGGCTGTTGAGGGTACTGTGTTCCTTTGTTTCTCGAATTTGAAAGGCTCCATGTTAGTTGGATTTTCACAATGCCCCGTGACAACTGTTGAGTCGAGATCAGTAGGTCGAGGATTTTTAATGCGGATCGGAGTTTTGTTTTTAGGAACTTGATTTTGACTTACTGAATTCCCGGACAGGAGGGGAGATTCTCCGGACATGTTACAGGAGTTGATGTGACTATCCACTTGCCTTACTCTCTTGGATCCATCGTCAATGGTATATATTGAAACCACAACTTTCTTGGGAGGGGCCACCTCCGTCTGCCTGTAGCTGGAGTCTTCAAATGATCTTGAATGGCGCATCCTCATGTTGTTTCTTGTGTTCTTCTCATCCTCCACATCGTCGTCCAGATCAAAATGAACTCTGCGCTTATACGAGAGGGAGTTCCTCTTCTTCCTGTCCTTCCCGACCGTGTGCAGTCTTGGTTCAGACTTGTTGAGTCGTCCTCCCAGACTTCTCGCTGCTTCTCTGTTACACTCCTCGTATGGCACCTTGAAGAACTCTTCTCTCAAAAGCGCTTTATTTTTTTGTGTTATCTCCCACGCTTTCCGGCCGCTAAGATCTTCCTTGGCCGACGCTTCCATGTGGGATTTTCTTTCAATTTCAGTATTAGAAGTGTCGGTGAAGATACTGCCGGATTTTGTTTCCTTTGTTTCAGGTGGAACCACAGATTGTGATCGCCTTAAAATCGGCCGATGTTTGGGAACATCTGCATGAACCCCGTTGGCCGTTCCCTCACCTTCTTGCAACTTTTGGTAATGTGATTCGCTTTCGTCGCTCCTAGAAGACACGAGACGAATACTCGATCTTCCCCTAAAAGACGGGACGCCGCCGTTCTGCTGGATAACTGTCGACTTCCCTGTACTCCTCGGTCCATCAACTCCCTGGGGCGGGTGAAGCGGTAAATCAGTTGCATCTTCTTTCTGTCTTTCCATCTGTCTGTCTCGTGGATGGTTGTCTATCCTAATGAAACTTGTCGTCGTCTTGGTGACTGGGACTCCTCGCTCGTCCTTGTAAACAATACTTCTCACCACGGGGACGGTGGTGCCGCCTACCTGGTGACTCGGGCCAGGCAGCGGGAAGCACCGCCCCATCACTACATCGACCCTCTTAGGTGATGATGAATTATTCACTCTGGTCAGCCCATCAGATTCTGGAGCGCCACTCTGACCCATCGTGACTAAGGCTTTCTTTGGCGCCTCCTGTGACCTGCCTGCTCGGTGAAGCAGGCAGCTGAGGGTAGCCCGAGGAAAACTGCTGGTGTGGGGAAAATAACCCACCAGTTATTGAGGAAAAAGATGTCTTGTTGTTCCACAGACCACTGGTGTTGGTGCAGGCCGGGAAGGAACGCTGTGAGGGACAGCCTGGGGTTGTTGACGGTGCAGGACGCGAGTGACCACTGGTGGCTGGCCTGATGCAGCCTCCTCTCACCCACCAGCTGCGGGAGAGAAGAGAGAAAACTTAGTGAAACTCAACATTTTTAAGGAATAAACGAGCCAAGTGATCGACCAGTGGCGGACTAGTGAATGTTGTCAGCGGGGGTGGGGGGAGGGGGAAGTTGTGGGGGGGAGGTGAGATAAGTGGAGTGAGAAGATAAAGACGATAAGAAGAGTGAAGGAAAATAGTGTAGTGGAGACGTTACACTAGAATAATGGAAAATTTTATAAAAGAAAGAAAGAAGGAAAGTTTCCAGATTGAGAAATATTTACGTGATCCAATTTGTTTTGAGCGAGGCTAGAAACTCCATAATGATATATCAGACGAGAATATAATAATTACATTCAGTTTCTCGACCACAATGACATTTCCCGAACATTTACCAAAACACCGTTAAACGACATCAACTTGGTGCAGAATTTCGCTGTGTTAATCGGAGTCAAAAACTTGGCGTTAAAATTATTTAGTCTTGGCTATGTTTTGTCATTTAATTGATTGTCTCCGTTTCCGGACCGTGAACATTCTACTCGCTACGATTTATTTTTATTTCTGTCACGTTTGGTTTAGTGCAGGTAATGACTAATTCACGATCACTTTTGTTTTAATAATTCTGAGTGTCACAAGTTTAAAAGTTTCGGTAGATATTCTCAAAAAGTGTATGTCGCTAGAGTGAAATTTTCGTCATTATAGAAAACGAGAATTTTAGGCGATATAATATGGTAAACTATGATAGAAGTGCAAGAGCTTTTTACAGTGTAGTGTAGGTCGTCCTCCACCACTCCCTGTCCACCGTGTAAGTCATCCTTCACCACTCCCTGTGCACCGTGTAGATCATCCTTCACCACTCCCTGTGCACCGTGTGTGGGTCAAGTGGCAGGTGGTGTGACTCAGCTGGTATTAATTAAAGGCTTCCTGGTGAAAGTCGGGCACTCACAATGCACTATAATCTTGAATCACGGCTTAAAGAAAACGGGAAACATGGAAGTGTTTTTACAGAGGACTCAACAAATACTCGGACCTCCAGGCTAACCTAACCCCGAGTCTAACCTAACCTAAACTTAACGTAACCAAATCTACCCTAAATGTAACTTAACCTAACCTTTTATCTTAACTGGGGTGCCTTATCTTCAGGTGATCTCCCAACTTAACGCAACCTAACACAACTTACCAAATAATTTAGAAGACAAGCTAGATAACTTGTCTTGACTTTTACTTCATATGTTCCAGCGTATTGAGAATAGCGACTGAGAAATCGTAAAACTCGTTCTTGTGTTCCGTGACGCGCGACGCACAAGAGGCGCGCCAGGCATGTTAAGTGTGAGCAGCCCGAGGTGGTGTGTGTGTGTGGGTCGCTGGTATGAATGAGTACAAGTGTAAATACAATGTTGGATTACACCGCAGCCTTCCTCCTCCCCACCCCCACGGCCCCACCCCCTCTTTCGCCCCCCACGACTCCCACCAGCCTTCCTCCACCCCCCCCGACCCCACCCCAGCCTTCCTTCGCCCCCACGACCCCACCCCAGTCTCCACCCCCACGACCCCACCCCCAGCCGCCTTCCTTCGCCCCACGGCCCCACCCCTCCTTCCTCCCCTCAAGATACATTTTCGCAGTGTGTGTGTGTGTGTGTGTGTGTGTGTGTGTGTGTGTGTGACCTGGGGTGACGCTGGCCTTGAGTGGCCCCCTCACAACCACAGGGAGTTTCGCCATAGACCGACCAGCCTCCAGGTCCTCCCCAGTGGTCCAGGCTCCAGGTCCTACCCAGTGGTCCAGGCTCCAGGTCCTTCCCAGTGGTCCAGGCTCCAGGTCCTTCCCAGTGTCCAGGCCCAGGTCCTTCCCAGTGGTCCAGGCTCCAGGTCCTTCCCAGTGGTCAGGCCCAGGTCCCTTCCCCAGTGGTCCAGGCTCCAGGTCTTCCCAGTGGTCCAGGCTCCAGGTCCTTCCCCCAGTGGTCCAGGCTCCAGGTCCTTCCCAGTGGTCCAGGCTCCAGGTCCTTGGTCCAGGCCCAGGTCCTCCCCAGTGGTCCAGGCTCCAGGTCCTTCCCCAGTGGTCCAGGCCCCAGGTCCTTCCCAGTGGTCCAGGCTTCAGGTCCTACCCAGTGGTCCAGGCTTCAGGTCCTACCCAGTGGTCCAGGCTTCAGGTCCTACCCAGTGGTCCAGGCTCCAGGTCCTTCCCAGTGGTCCAGGCTCCAGGTCCTTCCCAGTGGTCCAGGCTCCAGGTCCTACTCAGTGGTCCAGCCCCAAGACCCTCCATGTGGCCCAGCCCATGAGTGAAGTCACCCAGGTCCTTCCAAGGGGTCTAGCCTACGGGACCAGCCTACAGGTCTCTGGTCAGAACGAACACGTAAGAGTATTGTTTGTTTACACTTCTACACACGTTAGTAATGCAGTGACAGCTGCGTTAATCACCGTGAGGACGATGGTTTAACACTCTTTTGACGGAGTTGTAACTGGTTGATGGTTTTTACCGTCCGAAGAAACTATTTCAGTCGCTCGTCCTCAAGATATTAAGTGTGGTGTTTACATACAAGATAAATGAGAGAAGCTAAAACGAACTGTGAAAGAAAGAAAGAAAGACGAAGAATAACCAAACAAGCCCTAACTACCGCTAGAGGCTGGTTACGAGCCGACATCAATCACCATAACAAGGCTGTTGGCAATTACATCCCAGTGGTTAACGTAGTAAATTGGCTTTTGTCCAAAGGAATTATTTAAATGGTTTGTTCGC